TAGAAAGTATATACGTAGTGTCCTTTTTACCCCTTCTCCCTGCCACGTGTGTGTGTGTGTGTGTGTGTGTGTGTGTGTGTGTGGGTGGACGGGGGGGTGACAAACCTGGCAGGAGCCCACCCAACAGCAGGTGCACCCTCCTCGGCTTCCGTTCCAGTGCACGCTGCTTCACCCCTTCTCAAAGCTCTATGAAGGGCCTGCCAGGGAATGGCCCTCATCCCCAGTCCCATTGACGACTGCGAGAAAGTGCTCCTCCTTAGCGCTGTGCTATAGGTGGGAAACAGGCCCGGTCTCACTCACACAGCCAGGAAGTGACTGCCGTCTAATCCTGGTGGTCCCGTGAACCCAGCTCAGCTCCTGACCAGCCCTGTGGCCTTGGGACGTGTCCCAATCTACGCAAGTGGGTGGTAATTAACCACTCAGGCCGCAGGAGTCACCGATGGTTATGCAAGCACCCAGCGCAGAGCCTGCACTGAAAGGTGAAAAGAACAGCAGCTCTCTGAGCACACAGGTGAGCCAGTTCACAGCCAGTTCACTTCGCACTCTCAGGGCCTGTGGGCTTCGCTGTCCCGTTTAATGGATGTGGAAACTGAGGTCTGGAGAGGTGGTAGGGCTTGCCCAAGGCCACCCAGCTAGTCATGGGTGGAGCTAGGACTTAAACCCTCGGAACTCAAAGATCTGGCTCTGGCTGGCAGGGTGAGCAGGCTGTTGTTGGGGTCCTCAGGCTGCTTGGAAGAGCCAGCAAGCAGAAATGCGCTTTCGTTTGCTTTCCAGCATTCATCCATTCGGACTATCTTTCGAGCAGGACTGACTGAGCACCAGGCACTGCAGCTGTCCTGGAAGCAGCAGTTCTTTTATAGACACTGCCTCCCACCCCACCCCTCCACCCCTCAGGGCATGCACGGCACACAACGTGACAGCCAGCACCTGCCTCTCTCAGCTGGAGGGCTGCTTCTGGTGGCTTAGGGCATGTTCATCCAGCTCAGAGGTGGGCTGGAAGGGCTAGAGAAGCGATAGGAGAGAGGGGACATTACTGGATAAATACCCCAGCTCCCTCCGCTCTCCCCGGGGTGTGTAAGTGGGTGGAAAATAAATCTGGGGAGTGTTCTGCACTGTCCCCAGTCTCCCAGCAGGACTGGGCTGAGTTGCGTCCCCCCTCCCAGTACCACACCCTTGGAGGGTGGCTTTCCCTTCCCCACCCCACACCCCACTCCCTGACCAGACTAACGAGCTGTCCTGAAACTCCCCTCAGGACTTGCTTCTGGAAGAGGCTTCTTCATCTGATGGCTCAAGAGAAGCCAAAAATCTAACCGTTTTTGTGAAATCTCCTGACTTTTAAATGTTTGCAACCAATTTTAAAAATTTAAGCATTGTATTGAATAAGATGAGTGGGTTATGTCAATGCCAATGACCTGGCTGTGACACTGCACTATATGGTCTGCAAGAGGTTATCACTGGGGGAACAGGGCACATGGGATCTCTGTTTTCTTTCTAACAACTTCATGTTAAACTATGTGTCCCCAAATGAAGAGTTTATTTTTTTAATTGTAGAAGCTATTTCAAAGAATGAGGATCTCACAGATGTTAAATATGGCCAACAAGGAAGTTCAAACCCTGGCTATACCACTTACTAGCTTGTGTGTACGTGGGTAAGTTACTTAGCCTGTCTGTGCCTCGGATTCCTCATCTGTAAACCAAAAGCAGTAACAATTCCTGCTTCATGAGATGCATCTGAGGATTAAATGAGATAATACATGCGAAGATCTTGGAATAGTGCCTGGCACAGAATAAGCACCAGATAAGAATAAAATACTGTTATTTTTCTCATTGCTGCCACTATCAAAAAAGCAAGGAACACAGTAATGTATGTAGGACTAAATGTAAAGGAAAGAAATTTTAAGGAAATTAAATTATCTGAGGGATACACAGGAACTGGCGAGAAATGGGAGGGAAAGACTCTTTGGTGTTTTCCAACATTGTCAATGTACTAAATGCCACTGAGTTGCACACTTTAAAGTGATTCACTTTGTTATGTGAATAGCCCCTCAATTAAAAAGAAAAACAAACCTCTGGTGTTCTTAAAGTTTAATCCTTGGATAAACCAAATAAATAAAAACTTAAAACTAGTAAGGAGTAAAGAGAGGCAGGCAGGCACTGCAAGCCAACCCCAGGCACTCAGGACCCCAGGCTACTCAGGTCCCCGCCCACTGAGCTCCATGTGAAAGGGAGCCTCCAGGAAAGCCAGCGGGGCCAGCCTCCAGATCCCCAGGCCCAGCGGCCCTTCAGATGAGCAGGAGACCCCTAGTGGGAAGCACCCAACTGAGCCCCTTCCCCAATTCCTGACCCACAAAATTGTGAGCAAAATGTCAATGGTTTGGTTAAGCTGCTAAGTTTTAGGGCAGTTTGTTACTTAGCAACAGCAACTGGATCACTGCATCAGGATCCCCGTTAGGGCCTTTACTCTGCCGGGGAAGCTTCTCCTCCTCACCTGATTCCCATCCCTGCTCAATGTCATGTCTCCCTGAGGCCTGCCACTACCACCCTTGTGGCACACACTTCCCATCCCTCTATTCTGCACCATTTACCACCTGCCATAATTTATTTTTTAAAAATATATTTTATTGATTTTTTACAGAGAAGAAGGGAAAGGGATAGAGAGTTTAGAAACATTGATGAGAGAGATACATCGATCAGCTGCCTCCTGCACACCCCCTACTGGGGATGTGCCCACAACCAAGGTACATGTCCTTGACCGGAATCGAACCTGGGACCCTTCAGTCCGCAGGCCGACGCTCTATCCACTGAGCCAAACCCGTCAGGACACCACCTGCCATAATTTAGATATTTACTCCTATTTCTATGCTCCCCCCATCTCTATTGAAAACTCCACGAGGTCAGAGAGTGTATCTGCCTGGTTCTTGCCACTGGTGCCTTAGCATAGAGTGGGCATTCAGTCTGTTGAATGAATGAATGAATGAGTGAGTGAATATGAGCCCCTGTGAGAGGACAGAGGCTGCAGAGGGCGCTTTCCCAGGCAAGCTGTGGAGGGCATATTCACCCTCCCACCCCAAGACCCATCACTGGGACTCTGCCAAGTGCCTGCACAGATTTTTCTGGACAGAGATGGGCTGAGATGTTGTTCTCAGCCTTGGCCACGAGGTGGCAGTTCAGGAGGCCAAGATTCGCCCTAAGGACCCAGGGGCTAGGACTCCTTACAGAGAATGCCGGACTCAGGGAAGGGTCGGGAATACAGGTGTAGATTAGATCTGGGGGCGGCTGGGGGTGTGGGTGATCCGGAATCTCTGGGTTCTGGGTCCAGAGTAGCAGCAGCCTTGACTTCGGGCGAGCCCAGGGGTGAGTTAGACGCTCCCCAAGGCTCTCTGTCCAAGTTGTCTGGAAAACCATAATAAAAAGCTTCTGGTTTTATCAGAGAGCTGGTTTTCCGACCCCTCTGCTATTTGACACCTATCATCATCCTTGGGAGCTCTATCTTTAAGCCAAAATAACTATTATTTACTTGATATGCTTCCTTAAATAGATCTTTAAAACTTAAGTATATGTAATAAGAAGGAATTTCTTAAAATTTCTTGGAGATTTGGGAGCAAACCGGCAACTCAGGTATGTGCCCCTAACCAGGAATCGAACCTGAGACCCTTCCATGTGTGGGCCACTGAGCCATACCGGCCAGGGCTTTTTGATGTTGTTGTCATGAGCCAAGGAATTTTTTTATATCATCACTGTAACTTGGCAGAAATAGGCAGTAACAGTTAATAATCACTAAGATATTGTATTTAGATGGCAGTCACTGAGTGCCAGATGCTGTTTCAAACATGCCCTGTATCTCATTTAGTCCTCCAAAGACGATGAGCTGTGTCCTAGTACTATCCATTGTACAGGGAGTGGGACACAGAGAGGGTGGGCGACTTTCCTGATCTCACACAGCCAATAAGTGGTACCAGCAGGCTTTAGAGTCACCAGAGTTCTCAAGAGCTGTTAAAAAACTGGAGTTTACTGCAGTACTCCCCCCCCCCCCCCCCCACACACACACACACACTCTTACTGCTAGGTATTAGCTCAAGGGAACACACCAGTGCACACAGCTGCCTCCTCCGGTCCCCTGCTAGCCTGCCCTCTGGGCAGCAAGACCCAGGGGACAGTCCTGGGCTCCTCACTCCACAGGGCTAGCTGGATTGGTTTATTTTTCTGGACTTTACTCTCATTCCCTCACACCCAGGAGTCTTCAGCAAGTTTTTGTTTGTTTGTTTGTTTTTGTATTGATTTCTGAGAGGAAGGGAGAGGGAGAAAGAGATAGAAACATCAATGATGAGAAAAAAAATCATTGATTGGCTGCCTCCTGCACACCCCCCACCTGGGACCAAGCCCAAAACCTGCCGGGACCAGAATGGAACCGTGACCTCCTGCTTCACAGGTGGACGCTCAACCACTGAGCCTCCCCGGCTGGGCCTCGGCAAGTTCTGAGTGCTCACTGGCGTCTGGAGCAGCTGTGGAGGCACAGGGGCCCTTCTGCCCCTGGGGGATGTGAACCCAGACCTTCACCTCTCCTGCCTCAGTCCAGCTGGGACCTGCATGAGCCAGAACTCAGGTAGGACCTGGAGACACCTGAGGAAAGCCGGCTACAGGGTGGCCTGGGGAAGGAAGGGACTGACCCTGGGAAGCAGGACTCCTGGGGGGTCCCGGACATCCCTGGCTTGTACGGCAAAAGGAGAAGGGGCGACAGGGCTCCCTCCACCTAGGCTCCACCCTCCCGTGGACAGCGATTATGTGTCTATGTGGTGGTGGGGGGGGATGGAGACTGGAAGAGGCCGGCCGACCTGCCCTTGCCCACCTCCGCGGTCCTCCGGGCCAGCGCCGCGTTCCCGGTGGCCCCGCGACCCGCGCGAGAAAGCCCTCGCACCCCCGTGCCGCGCGCTTTGGTATGGGCCGCGGGGCAGCCGGGGCGGGTCCAGGGCCGGCGCCACCGCCCCGCGGGACACCCGGACTGCAGCGCTGGCACAGGATGGGGAGGCGCTGCTGGCGGCGGCGCGCCCTGGCGGCCGCGTGTCTGAGCGCTGCGCTCCTGCTCCTGGGCGCCGCGACCCGCGCCCTACTCCCGGGTGAGTGCCAGCTGGGCCGGGGGCAGTGGCCAGTCCCTCGCCGGGGCAGGGGCACCTGCTGTCTGTCTGCTCCTGGGCTAGGGGCTAGGGGCGAGTGGGCCCAGAAAGGCTCTAGATGCCCCCGCCTGTGCCCCAGCTCCCCGCAAGGCGTCCCTCCCTTGGAGAAGTGGTCTCCAAGCGCCCGGGATGGGACCGCTAGGGCCTGCCAGCCTGTGCCTAGCGACCCGGCTCAGTGGCGGGTGGTGGGCTACGTTTGGCCCACCTGGGAAGGCAGCTTCCTTTACTTCGCCCCACCCCCTTCGAGCCTGGTGTGGGAGGGAGTTTGATGCCCCTGCATCCCCAGCTGCTTCCTCTGTGTGACCGGCAGGGTGCTGCCTGGGGTGCCCTGCTCCACCTGAAGTTCACACTGACAAGGACTTGGGGCTCCTCTGCATCTACCTCATGGTCTGGTTGGTGGAAATGAGGCAGCCAGTCAGGACCCCGCTGTGTGGAGTCCCTGCTCCAGGCCGGCTTGTGCCAGACTTCACTTGTATGAATTCCTCAAACCCTCTCACCGACCCATTCACAGGACGGACATGCCAGAGAAGTGAGTGGAGGGATGGGTGTGGGTGGCTGACTTGCTGGCTGCACAGTCTGTCCTGGGCTTGAGGGGCCCAGCCATTGGCTTGTTCTCCCAACCTCTGGCTCTGTTTGCTTTTCCTGACGTGAGTGTGAGTGTGTGAGTGTGTGTGTGTGGGGCGGGGGGGGGGGGGATTGTGAAAATCCTTGGAGTCCCCTTTTGGAGCCTCTCAGACAGGGTCTCCACACCCCAGGGTGGGCAGGGGCCACTGGGCAGTGGGGTTAGGGTGGCCTAAGTGATGAGGCTGAGGAGACTGTTCGGGGGGCAGCACTTACCCATGCGGGACCCCGGCTGGGTCTAGGTTGGTGTAGGATAGGTCATCCACAGTCTTATCTGCTGGGCGACCTATTCCTCCCCTCTCAGGGCTTCAGGGCTCCCATCTGTAATGGAGTGCCCAAGTTCTTCCTACCTGGCTTCTGCTGAGGGGAATGAGGGCACACAGGAAGTACTTGGCCTCAGGCCTCCTTACCATGGCCCTGTCATGGTTCGGCCTGGCATGTACTCCTTCCCTCCGGAGGTGAGGGGCTTCCCGCCCCCCCCCCCCCCCCACTCCCTGCCACCCTCAGCCTTCCCTGACTGCCTCTGGACTGGAGGCCAGGGTTTGGAGAGACCTCCTCAGTGCTCACCAGCTCACCCTGCCACTCACACCATTCCCTCTGTGGCTGGACACCGCTGTCCAGACCTGGACCCCTCCACAAGCCACGGCTGGGAGCTGCAGTCCTGTACACCAAAATGGTTGCGGGCTTGATTCCGGGTCAGGGCACAGCCCTAGGTTTCGGGTTTGGTCCCCCAGTTGGGGCTCAAATGGGAGGCAGGTGGATGTTTCTCTTTCACATCGATCTTTCTCTCTCGTTCTCTCGTTCTCTCTCTCTAAAAATCAATAAACATATCTTCAGGTGAGAATTAAAAAAAAAAAAAGGAGAGACTGAAATATCCTGATGTGGATGAGACATTTGAGTTGAGATCTGAACAACAAGCAGTATCTCCCCTAAAATGTTCCCTGGAGGAGCTTCCCAGGTCGAAGGAAAAGTTAGTGCACAGGGGGGAATGCACCTACTATGTTCAGTGTGGCTGCAGCTGAGGAGAGAGCTGGGGAGGGTGGGAGATGAAATTTACTGATAGCCATGGGAAGCCACGTAGGTTTTAAGATCACCAAGATGGAACAAGAAGAAATAGGAAGCCAGTTGAAGAGACTGGTGATTTTCCTGAGCAGAGTGGACGGGGCTTGCCCTGGGCTGATACTGTGCAGGAAGCAGAAATGGGGGGGCTTCCTGATGGTTCTGGAGACAGAGCTGATGTGACTGGTGCCCAAGAATGATCTGATCAGATAGGTTTCCATTCCACGTGGTTTGTGGAGTTCAGCGTGCAGCCTGAATTTTAAATTGGAGTGGAGAGATCACTATTTCTCTCCAAAAAAGAAGCAGAATTGCTTTTTACTTATGAAGGGTTTGTCAACGAGTTCATCGCTTAGCCTGATCACCAAAGGGAATGTCCCTGACCCAGGGGCACATAGGTCAGGTCACCCCAGAAGGCCTAAGTCATCAGGGGGAGTGAATGGGTTAGGGCAGACTCGAGCAGCGAGGCCTGCGGCTCCTGCTTATCTGATCTTGCAACACTAGCCCAGCTAGAACTTATTAACCAGAAACCTTGTGTCATAATCTATGCTTACCAGACTGGGATCACCATTGTTTCCCCCAAATGGTGAAGCCTCAAGTCCCCCGTGCAACAACTTGTCCCCAGTCTCCCCTCGCTCCGCCCCCCCCCATAAAGCGGGGGACTGAGGCTTTCCTTGGGGGTGAGCGTGCATGGACAATTTGTCTGGTTTCTTGGTGTGGCATTTCAGCCACCAGCCTGTGGATGCTGTGAATCGAGTTTTGTGCAGGGTGGAGTGGGTGCCTGAGGGCAGGATGGCGTGGCTTGCGTTAAGGTCACACATATGCTGTGGCCTGGGGTAAAATCCTGTTTCTGGCCCTTACTTGCTGTGAGGCCTTAGGCTTGTTTCATTGCCTCTCTGATCCTATTTCCCCATCTGTCAGGTGGGGATATAATAGTTACCACCCAATAGGAGAAAGCATCAATGTTCACAAATCGCTGAGTACAGCGCATGGTGCCGGCCGGATTTCCGGAATTCTCCCAGTCTCTGTCTCTGTCGTTGTGTGTAGTTTCTTCTCTCTCCATCTCTGTCCTTGGCACCCAGTTCCTCTTTCTCTCCTCCCTCCTATAGCCCTCTCCCTCTTCTCTCTCTCTTCTCTCCATAACCTCCTGCTATTTTTGTTTCCTTTTTTCAAAGCAGAACCCCGTGTGGTTTGCCTGTGGTTGCTCTGGATGGCAGAGTTCTTTGGCTTAGGTCCAGGACCCTCCCTGACCACGAAACTGGGGCCTGCCCACCTAGCTCTCCCTGGCCTGTCTGCTCCACAGTGCCCTGGGCAGAGGCCCTGGGACATGGAGCTCAGTGGAAGGGCTGGGAGGAAATAAATAGGTGTGTGTGTGTGGGGGGGGGGGGGGGGTTGGGTGAAGGCAGTGGAGGTTGGGGGAGGCCTCAAGGTGGCCCTGTTTGAGGGTAGTCCCTACGCTAGACCCCCCGCCTCTAGCTGTCCCGAAGGGGGGGCTGGACCCTGGGATCTTCAAGCATTCCCCTCTGAGCCCCTAGACCCATCTGTTCCCCCCTCCATGGCCAGCCTGCCCTCCTGGTGGACCTGGGTTCCTCTGATCTGTGTGGCGGGCCCGGGTGGGCCCAGCCCTGTAATCACTGGCCACAGCTACTCTGGGCCTCTCTCTGGTGTCCACTTCCTCTTGCACTCCACCCACTGGCCACCGGAGTCTGGTATGGGACCCACACTCCTGCAGGCTGTGGTCTGCCTAGGAAATGACAGGCCTTTCTCAAGGGCTAGTGTTTCTGGAAGGTTCTGAGTTAAGGGGCCTTAGAATAAGACAGGCCTAGGTTTCTCCTCTGTTACTTGGAGTTCCTCTTCCTACAACCCCTGGTGGGCACCAACTCTTCCTCAGTCCCAGCTGTGGTCCCAAGAGGAGCTGGTCACTGGGTGACCTCGTGCCAGAGGTAACACCTCTCTGAGCCTCCACTTTACCATCTGCAAAATGGTAAGAAAGGTGAACCATAACCTCCTGGTTCATAGGCGAAGCTCAATCACTGAGCCATACTGCTGGGCTGTACCACAGCTTTTTTATTCACTCATCTACTAATGGACACTTGGGCTGTTTACAGATCTTAGCTATCCTATATAATAAAAGCCTAATATGCTAAGTGTCCGGTTGTCCAGTCGGCCGTTCAACCAATCAAAGTGTAATATCCTAATGAAATGCTAAGGCAGCTCAACAGCTCGCTATGATGTGCACTGACCACCAGGGGGCAGATGCTCCAACTGGTAGGTTAGCTTGCTGCTGGGGTCCAGCTGATTGGGGCTGAGTGAGACAGGTCAGACACGCCCTGGAAGCCTCCTGCAGTCCCTCTCTGGCTGGCTAACCTCCCGCATCCTTCCCCAGCCCTGATCATGCACCGGTGGGGTCCCTCGGCCTGGCCTGTGCCCTCTTGCAATTTGGGACCCCTTGGGGGATGTTGGAGAGACGGTTTCACCCAATCCCACAGGCCAGGCCAAAGGACCCCACTGGTGCATGAATTCATGCACCAGCCTCTAGTTGTAAATAATTCTGCTATGAACATAGGAGTGCATATATTCTTTCTGATTGGTTGGTGTTTGGGGATTCTTAGGATATACTAGTATTCCCAGAAGTGGGATTACTGGGTCAAATGGCAGTTCCATTTTTAATTTTTTGAGGAAACTCCATATTAATTTCTACAGTAGCTGTACCAGTCTGCATTCCCACCAACAGCACACTGGGGTTCCCTTTTCTCCACATCCTGACCAGCACTTGTTATTTATTTATTGATGATAGCCATTCCGGCAGGTATGAGGTGATACCTCATTGTAGTTTTAATTTACATCTCTCTGATGATTAGTGATGTTGAGCATTTTTTTTTTTTTGTATGTCTATTGGCCATCTGTATGTCCTCTTTGGAGGAGTGTCTATTTTTTTCTTTAAGTTTACTTTTTACTGTTGACAGTATTACAGATGTTCCCTATTTCCCCCCCCCCCCGCCCTCTCTATCCACCCAGCCCCCACCTCCCTCCAGGCCTTTACCACACTGTTGTCCGTGTCCACTGGCTATGCTTTGGTTAATCTCTTCCCATCCCCCACACCTTCTTTCCCTCTAAGATCTCTCAGTCTGTTCCATACATCCATGTCTCTGAACTTTTTTAAAATGTATTTTTATTGATTTCAGAAAGAAACAAAGAGGGAGAGAGAGAGAAGCATCAATGATGAGAGAGAATCATTGATCGGCTGCCTCCTGCACGCCCCACACTGGGGATTGAGCCCACAAACCAAGCATGTCCCCTGACAGGGAATCGAACCCTGACCTCCTGGCTCATAGGTCAATGCTCAACCACTGCGCCACACAGGCCGGGCACGTCTCTGACCTTAATGAGCCTCTGGGTGTAGTCAGAGCTGAACTCCACAGGGCTGGGTGAGAGGTATTCCAAAGGGTGGGGCTATTGCTTCCCCCCAGGCTAATGCTGCATGAATGGGAAAGGTCTGCCTGAGAAAGATGGCTTTTGCAGTATGGGGGAATAACTCAGTACAGGGATCCAGGTAGCTGTCCTCTCAGCTCTCTCCCCAGAGCCACCAAGCCTGAACTCTCCTCAAACAGCTCAAGTCCACTCTGTCCTCCCCCTGCCAGAGCCCACGGTGAGTGGCTGCAAATGAAATAGTGTGCATTGGCCCTTTAAGAAGGTGCCTGCGTTTCTAGCTTCCTTATGGATAACTGCTTTTCTCTTGCAGCTTTTAAGATCCTCTTTGTCTTAACTTTGGCATTTCCATTATGATGTGTCTTGATGTCAGCCTCTTTGGATTCATATTATTTGAGATTCTCTGCGCTTCCTGCATTTGTACGTATATTTCTTTCAGTTATTATTTATTCAAATAGGTTTTCAATATTTGTTCTCTCTCTTCTCCTTCTGCTACCCCTATGATTAAATATTGTTACACTTGATGTTGCCCCAGAAGTCCCTTAAACTATCCTCATTTTAAAAATTCATTTTTCTTTTGCTGTTCTGATTGGGTGTTTTCTGCTACCTTACCTTCCAAATTGCTGATTTGGTACTCTGCTTCATCTAATCTGCTGTTGTTCTTTCTAATGTATTCTTCATGTCCGTTATTGTTTTCATTTCTGACTGGTTCTTTTTAGTGTTTTGTCTTTCCCCATTTTTATGTTTCCTTTTTGTTGAAGCTCTCACTGAGATCATTGAGCATCCTTATAACCAGTGTTTTGAACTCTGCATCTGGTATATTGGTTGTCTCCATTTTGTTTAGTTATTTTTCTGGAGTTTTGTTCTGTTCTTTCATTTAGGACATATTTCTTTGTCTCTTCATTATGACTGCTTCCCTATGTTTGTTTCTATGTATTAGGTAGATCTGCTACATCTCCTGGTCTTTTTTATTTTTAATTCTTTATTGTTGAAAGTATTACATATGTCCCCCTTTTTCTTTCATTGACCCCTTCCAGCCCCCCACTCCAGGCCTTCAGCACCCTATTGTCTGTGCCCTTGGGTTATGCATATATGCTTACAAGGTCTTTGATTGATTACCTCCAACCCACCCTTCCCTGCCTTCCCTCCGAGATTCCACACTCTGTTCCATGCTCCATGTCTGGATCTACTTCCTTCATTAGTTTATTTTGTTACTTGGATTCCACATATGACTGCGATCATGTGATACCTGTCTTTCTCTGACTGACTTATTTCACTTAGCATGATACTCTCCAGCTCCCTCCATGCTGTCTCAAAGGGTAAGAGATTCTTCTTTTTTACTGCTGCATAGTATTCCATGGTAAACATACCACAGCTTTTTTATCCACTCATTTACTGAGCTGTTTCCAGATCTTAGCTATTGTAAATTGTGCTGCTATGAACATAGGAGTGCATACATTCTTCCTGATTGATGCTTCGATTTTCTTAGGATATATTCCTAGAAGTGGGATCACTGGGTCAAATGGCAGTTCCATATTTAATTTTTTGAGGAAACTCCATACATCTCCCATCTTGGTGGAGTGGCCTTATATAGTCGGTGTCCTGTGGGGCCGAGAGGTGCAATCTTTCTGGTCATCTGAGCCAAGTGCTCCAGTTGTGTCCCTGTGTGAGCTGTGTGTGCCTTCCTGTTGTAGTTGAGCCTGGATTGCTGTTGGCCTGTCAGTGGGAGGGATTGACCCTCAGGCTGACTGGCTGTAAGGACTGGCCTTCATTACAGCTGAGCTGTTGTATGGGGTTTGGCTGCATGGAGCAGGATTCGCTTTCGTGGGGCTCTGGTGCCTGCCGAGTTGCTCTTTGAGTGTGTCATTTATGGAGCTAACTGGGTGGTGCTCAGTGTGGTGTTGTCTGAATTCAACCACAAGGTGTGTTGGTTCTAGAGCCTTTGGGAGGGAATCCCGCACATGCCCAGATCAGCTGCTGCCTATGCCTGATGCAGGGCCACCTGCTAGGAGGTACAACATAATCTTCGGTTGGTAGCTGCCTGTGCTTTGCTTGGAGGTGCCTGGGGTGCCAGGATTGGGGCTGCTTAGCAAGAGGTACAGGGCATGCCAAGAACAGCCACTGCTGTTTCAGGTTTGTGGCCCTCTGAGAAAGTTTAGGAAAGTGCATAGGCCAAGGCCAGCAGCTCGTGAGGAACAGCAGCTAAAAGAGGCAGATGCCCAAGTTGGGTGGGGTGGGATCTTGGGATCACCAAGTGGGGTGAGTGGTGTTAGGCAGGTTGTTGGAAACTCAGACGGGGCACCAGCCTGATCCTGTAGACTGGTGGAGTAGGGGGCTAGGGCTCAACAAAGGGAAAACAGCGCCTGCCAGCACTTGCCAGCTGTGGGGGTGGGAGGAGGGCTCAACAGATTAACAATGGCACCTGCCCATTGAGCTGCCCCTCCAGCCTTCACCCTGAAGCTGGACGAGTCAGTTCTTTCCCATATGTCCCTGGTGCTTTTCTAGCCGTTGTCCCTTGGCTGGAGCTTAGGGCAATGTTTGTGAGTGAGCCTGTGCTCAGGCCTTTTAAGAGGACACCGGGGTCTACAGCAGCCCTCTACCCAGACAGAGGCCCCGCCTATTTCCACAGCCAGATGTTGTGGCTGGGCCGGCTGATGTGGGGCGAGGACCCCCTTGCTCCTCACTGGGGACCTCACAGCCGAGATATCCCTCCCGAGTATAACTTCCACACATGGTTGTGGGACCAGCCCATTTCAGGTCTCTGCCCCTCCTACCAGTCTCAACGTGGCTTCCTTTTAAAAATTACTAATTCAGTCTTTTCACTTGTTATAAGTCTGTTGAGGTTTTTGTATTTCTTCTTGAGTCAATTTTAGGAATTTGTGCCTTTCTAGGAATTTTCTATTTCATTTAGGTTATATAATTTACTCTTGTATAGTTGTTCATATTATACTCTAATAATCCTTTCCTATTTCTATAAGGTCTAGTACTAATGTCACCTCTTCCATTCCTGCTCTTAGTAATTTGAGTCTTTAATTTTTCCTTCTTGGTCAATCCAGTTAAAGATTTGCAATTTTGGTGATGTTGTAAAGATTGTGTTATACTTTATTATTGTATTAATAAATATAATCATATTTAAGAAAAATATGATCCAGAAGGTCTTGAACCTTTCCTCACCTATATTGAGTATAGTACTAAAAATATATGCATATTAATTGAATATGTTTAAGAAGATAGTCCTTAAGAAACATTTTGAGTGAAGAATAAACTTAGCAAGCTGAGTTTATGGTAGTTTTAGGAAGATTGAAAAATTTGGCACTGAGACAGAAAGATAGTATCTGTCCTCGGGGGCATCCATTCTGGGAGAAAGCTAACGCTGTGTTTACCATGAAGAAGCATGCACACTGCTCGGGGAATTGCAGGCTGCTGGAGGAATTCACAGTGGGTCAGGGGAGAGCCTGCAGTCTGGCTGTGCCACTCCACTACTGCCCACCCCTCTCTGGACAGACAGGTAGCTTCTTGAGTCCCTGAGGGCTCCTCGGTCATGGGGCTGGCTAGGGCAGGGCATGAGATGAGGGCAGATTCAGGTGGGTGAGTCTGAGTGGTTAGGCCTTTCCCAGAGGGCTATGGGCTGGGTACCACCTTTCCTCTCATCTCTTCCTGTCTGGCATCCTCCAACTCTAGAGGGCAGGGCATAGGAGTAGGAGTGACACCAAGCAACCTGCCTGTTGGATTAGGGGCCCTGTCAGTGCTTCCCCCCACTTCACCAACCTCCCTCCCCATCCCAAGGCAGGTGGGACAGGAGGGAAACTGAGTCTCAGAGATGGGTTAGTTGTGCCCTAGGTGAGTTGACCAAGCATCAAAGCCATTTCTTCGGATGCAGCAATGACACCTCTCTCTTTACGCTCCACAGAATCTGGAAACAAGGCCCTGGGCTCTGGCTGGCTTGGTGGGAAGAAGAGGAGTCCCCTGCAGATGCTCTATGACCTGGACCAGGTAAGTGGACAGACCCCCCCCATTCTGGGACCCCTACCTCTGCCTCTAGACATGGGAACCTGAGAGCCTCAATGTAAACCTACAGCAAGCATGTCAAACTCGCTGCCCGCGGACCACATGTGGCCCACAATGAATATTTTTGCAGCCCAGCCAATATAACTGTATGTAAGAAACTTTTTAATAAAAAATTCATAACTTAATTTTTACAATATCCTGTTACACATAATATATATATATGTAACAGGCTAATATGCAAATTGTCCACTTGGGAGTTTGACCGGGAGAGCGGGAGTTTGATTGCTCGCTATGATGTGTGCTGACCACCAGGGGGCGGCGCAGAACATGTCTGGCTACTAGTGGCGGTGGGGCGCTGAGGGAGTGAGGGAAGGAGGAGGCGGGGAGGCGGGGAGGCCAGGCCTAGGGACCCTACCCTGCACGAATTTTGTGCACCAGGCCTCTAGTTATTAATAACGAACTACGTTTGCTAATGACTGGTTACTATAATCATGTTGCATTCATTGTTACAAATTGAACATAATTAAAGCATAGTGATTAATCACAAAAACAATATATAATTATATATGTGTTTTCTGATGGTCTTAGGTGACCCCTGTGGAAGGGTCGTTCGACCCCCAAAGGGGTCGCAACCCACAGGTTGAGAACCGCTGCTCTAAGGGCTCTGGGAGAGGGTCCTTCCTGTCTCTTCAGCTTCGGGGGACTCCTGGCCCTCTCCCTTCAGTCTTCACGCAGCCCATCCTCCTTCTCACTGGACTTCTCCCTCCTGTTCACGTGGCCCCACCCCTTTGTTGACACACCTGTTCTCCCAAGATCAGGTGGCCCCACCCCTTTTCACGTGAGTGCTTCCGCTTGATTACGTGGCCCTGCCCCCTTGCTTACATGCCCACTTTCTGCTTGATCACATGGGCCCCGCCCCATTGTTTGCGTGCCTGCACTCCGTGTTCACATGGCCCCACCCCCTTGAGACCTTGGATGGTCTCTGTTTCTGGGTGCCACCATCCCGGTTGGCTGTCTGCCCCTGCTCTCACACCTGTCAACAGTCCCTTTGCCAAAGTCCTTCCAGAAAAAGCCATCTCTTTCTTGCTGGGACTGTAACAGTTGGGATTGAAAAGGAGACAGGAGAGCTGTGGTCCGTCCAGGGTCCATGCAAAAGGTCCACAGGGGCCTATGCGGTCCCTGGAAGCTGTGCTTCTGGGCGGCTGCTTTGTCCTGCGGTCCCTCCTAGCTGGTAACCTTGGCGGAGTCCCGCTGCATTGGGCGAGGGCCTTGTGTGGAGAAGGCCCTGCCTCCCCTCGCCGTCTTGGCTTAGATTACAAAGTACCATTATTTTTCCTGTGTCTGGCTTCCGCTGCCTGTCTCCCCTGGCAGATTTGGTTTTGCCTCAAAAAGAAATTGGTTCGGGGTCTGCAAACTGGCTGACTTCTGCATTTGCTCTGTGAGACGTAGCTCTGTCCGGGTGCCGCCTGGTACGAGATCCTGATGCCACTCCACCTCCGTGGCAGCATCTCTCATCCCCTGGAGACCCCATTCAGCACACAACACCCTCCATGCTCCCCTGCAGCTCCAGGGACCCGCTGAGCCTGGGCCCCAGCCTGTCACTAGTCCCCCAGGTCCTGCCTGTAGCCCCAGGGTTCTCAAATCAGTCTGGGAGGGGCCGGTGGGTTGACCCCTTAGACAGAGGGGTACAGACCAAAGCTATCGTTCTTTTGTTTTTCCACATCACATCATGAGTTTTTTTGTTATTTTTCTTATTAAAAATGTTAATGTTGACATTATTGCAGGTGTCCCCCTCGCCCCCCTTGCCCACCTCCACCCATCCTCTCCCCCCCTCCCTTGGCCTTCATTGAAGTATTGTCTGTGTCCATGGGGTATGCATATGTGTTCTTTAGCTAATCCCTTCATCTTCTTTATCCAGTCACCCCTCCTCAAAAAATTAAAGATGGAACTGCCTTTTACTTGACCCTAAATATTCTGGGAATATAGCCTAAGAATTCCAAAACACCAATCAGAAAGAATATATGCTCCCACTATGTTCATAGCAGCATTATTTACAATAGCTAAGATCTGAAAACAGCCCAAGTGCCCACCAGTAGATGAGTGGATAAACAAAAAAAAGCTATGGTACATCTACACAATGGAATACTACAGGGCTGTAAAAATCTACCATTGTTATACACTATGCCACTTCTAGTAATTCAATTTGCTCCCATGGCGAGGACTCTGAAGCCATATTTCCTTATCCGTCTTACTCTGATCCTGTCACATTCGTTACCAGGACCTCCTCAGTCCTGCGTGTCCAACAATGACTAATCACTTCGTTCTACATGCCTCTGCAAGGTTAGATTCAGTTCCCCCAATCCAGGTCCAGGACAAATGCCTAGGCCCCCCCAACTCATACAGTGATCGGTGGCAGCGCTGGGTTTCCAGTCCAGGCCCCCTTCCTGCTGCCCGGCCCTGGCTCACACGGGTCACTGGGCGTCACCGGGCAGCTGCCCTGACACCGACCCCTGTCCTCCACAGGTTCGAGCTCGGCCCTGGCGAGGTGCACCGGCAGCGACGCAATCTGCTGCGCCGCGCCTGCAGCCGCTACACCCGCCGGCAGC